GTCAAAACTTTTGTGTGATGTTTCAGCAGCAGAAACCCTTCACGTTAATGTACTAAATGCACTGTAAGTCTGTGATCAAGCGAGCAGATAATCATCAGCTCATCTCGCCATATAATGATGATATGTTCAAAACAAACAGAAAAGCAACAGTGTGTCCTCCGCTGCAATCATGTCGCAGGGTTTAGTCAGCTGAGCAGCGGTCGGCCAATCACAGCTCAGCTCGTGACGCGGAGGACGCTGAAGAGCCGCGAGCGCGTGGAGCGTCTGTCAGACGCGTCGCGCGGAGCTCCAGACGCACAGCATGGCCGGAGTGAGTCTCTTCTCTGTCTAACGCTGTCTGCACAGTATTGTGATGCTTTAGGTTAGTGGTCTGGCTTTGTTCTGCGCCACTGATCCAGGAAAAGCCTTTAGTGTGCCGCGTTTGTAACAGCATTAGTTACAGATGTTACATACATCCTCGCTACAGTGTTACTCTGCACAACCTGGACTCGAGTCCGCTTGAAGAAACCCCAAAGCGACTGTGCTGATAGCACATACAGGTTTATTCTGGAGTTTAAAGCATAAATATCTCGATGTTTGTTGTGTTTGGCATTTCATCTGTCGGAACTGCTGTTCATTTGATGAAAACAAACACCAGACAAATAATAATGCTCTTGTGAATAACTCGCATGTAGTTGCACATCTAAAAGCTAATTACGTAATAATAAATCAGAAGGAACAGTAATTTTCGGAACTGTTTCTGAAGTATTCACCTGTTGTTTCTGTTCCAGGAATGTTGTGTTATTATTATATATAGTGTTGATGACTTTACAATATTATTATGTGAAAAGTAGAATGTGTAAGTGCACAAACCAGTTCAATTATAAAGGCTCCTATGATCGAGCATTATGCATTAGTTGACTAGTAATCACAAGCATGTTGCCTACTGACAGTCAGCTACAAATAATATGCTCATCTCTGTTAAAAGGGAAATACTGGAGGACTTTGGGATTCGTTGAAGAAAGCAGCTTTTGTCATTGGATCTGGGCTTTTCTTCCTGGTGGGGTTTAGGAACTCGGTGACGTGGTAAGCAGGTTTCATTCCTATCATTTTGACTTGCGTTTCAAATCTGAGTTTCATGTCAAGAATGAAAGCACGTTTGTAATTCTCAGTGCGTATGACCGCTGCTCTGGTTCTTGCTGACCATTCATTATTAATGATCTGTTTGTGTTTGCAGGCATCTGCAGAGGTTTTGGGGAGCGT